TTTTTTTTTTTTCCATAATTTTATTGAGAAACAAACAGCAATGAGACAGTTTCAAACCAAACTGGTAAGACGGTTTCAATAATTAACACACTGCATACATTCTTGCTGGTGGTGATTTGCTAGGGAGATGGCTCAGTAGAAAAGCTCCTACCTGGCCTCTACCCTCTTGCAAGGAGTTCTGCTAAAGGGTTCCATGCCAGGTCTACACTCTGGGTCTACTCAGGATCCAATAGGCCCCAGGCAGTCTCATTCACTCACCAGGCCTGCGCTCTACTCTCATAGATTTACAAATGAGACCACCCTACCCAAATACAGCCCGAAGAAGAGTGAATTTCCAGAGATGCCAGATTATTCATGTAGTATGGAGTCAAAGGCATCACTTAAAATTATTTGATCTTGTGCTACCACAATGAAGCCATTGCATATGCGTTCCCCTGAATTTAGGGCTGATTACACCTACACTCATTGCCCAGCCCTCCACTGTGCCTTCACCACTCATCCCTTCCCAGAAGCAAGCCCATACTTGACAAAGCCAACTCTCCAAAATACAGAAAGCTTCTTTGTTCCTTTTTCCCACTGTTGGCGTCAGCAAGTACACTGTGCCTGAGCAGAAGCATGTCATGTCTTTGAAGAGCTGCTCCCAAACCTTCCAGTTCTCATGTAATCACATAAATCAAGAACAGTAAGGGAAGCACCCATAAAAGTCATTATAAGCAGACACCGTGATGTTAAAGGAAAAACAGTTGGAGAAAAGGGAGTTTAATAAGCAACCTTCTTTTATTGTAATAGGCTTGACGTCATTGATTATTTATTATTTCCATCAGTGAAACATAAGACCATTTGCTTCATTGTGGGCCAGGATGAAAAGGATTTGTGGACTTTCCTGGGCATTTTAATATCCTCTTATTGACAGTAGATAGAAGATCTGCACAAGGGCTGGAAACAGGAAATGATTTTAGTGATTTCATTATAGTAATAGAGAAAAGCATTTCCAATGGCAGCAGTTGGCAGATGGTCAGTTAAGGCTTCCACTTCTAAGCAGCCTCCAAGTCAACAAGCCCAGTGTTGATACAAGGTTAGTATATAATGAATGAGCTGTCCAGCAAGCAGAAAAGTTTTTACAAATATGTGCTGTAGCCTTGGCAGTGGAACCCAGGAAGCTGGTGTTTAAAAGTTCATTTAAAACCATTTCATAAGGAAAAGTTTCCAGAAGCTGCAGGAGCACACAGTAAAATCACAGTCGAACAGCACTTGATGTTCTAGTAAAATCAATCAGATTTGCAAGGAAATATGGAGTTGAGTGAGTTTCCACTTTGTCTAATGAAAGGTAAGCATGATGGCAGAATATTCAGACTGTGGAAACTTCACTCAAGAAACCAAGTCAATTCATTTTACCATCCAACATCATCTTGCTGAAGGAACCTTGGAAACTGATTCCTTTGGAATGAAATATTAGAAGTTGGAAGGACGTCCCTTCATTCTGTGAAGACCACACTCTGTACATTTCCAAGGTGCCTTTTCAAAATCTCATTTAAGGGGCCGGGGAGATGGCTCAGTAGAATAAGCATTTGCCTGGCAAACATAAGGGCCTGAGTTCAATCCCCAGTTCCGCAAAAAAAAATAAAAAATAAATAAATAAAAATAAAAATAAAAATCTCCTTTAACACAGTCCTGTAAGGCAGACAGTGCTTACCTCTATTTTATACATGAGGGCGCCAGCAAGGCCAAGTCAAGCTCACACGAACCCTTGGCCAGCCACTCCCCACCATTATCATATGTCCTTTCTGTGCCTATGCATTTCTCCTTTTTTAATTAGTACCTATTAGTTTTTTAATATTGGGTTTTAATGTGTACACTCTGAATGCATCCACTCTACTACTTTGCCTCATACCCTCTGCCCCCTTCCCATTCTTTCCTTCCTCTTGTCTCACAATGGACTCTCTTCTATGTACATGTCATTTTTTTTTTTAAGATTCTACACACTAGGGAGAACAAGTCGTATTTGTCTGAACAGGCTTATTTCACTCAACAGCCTGATCTCCACACCCATCCATTTCCCTATAAATGACAAAATTTCATTCTTTATGGCAGAGTAATATTCCAATATGAATACATACGTTTTCCTTCTCCATTTATGTACTGGTACGCACCTAGGCTCATTTTATAACTTGACTACTGTGAACCGTACTGCAATAAACATGTGTATGCATGTATCCCTATAGCATGCCAGCTGTAATCCGCTTGGGGTATACATGGAGTAGTACAGCTGAGACAAATGACAGCTCTATTGTTTTTCTGAGAAACTACTACACTGGTTTCCACAGTGGCTGCACCAACCTACATTCTCATCAGAGAAGTAGAAGGGCTCCATTTTCACCACCAATAATATTCTACACATTTTAATATAATTGGAATCCTACTTTGATGTGTTGTGCCATTTTCCCTCCGTGGTGTATATTCCACCATGCCATTCTATTTGAACATGGATGCTGTCCTCAGGGTCTACAAAGGAAGACTGAATAGAGGACACATAAGTTATAGCATAATTTTATATACCACAAAGTAAAATGCAGAAGAGTGCAGGAGATCTATTATGTTTTTGTACTAATTTCATTTTTGTTGAATTCAATAATATTTCATCCAATTACTAAATCCTGATAGTACTTTTACTGAGACATAAATGAAATAGGCATCATTCATAATTAAATCCAGGTTTAAAACATGTGTGATTCATTTGCTTTTTAAAAATTTTAATAGGAAATTTCAAAAGTACAAAAATAGAAGGAACAGAGTAATGCAAAACACCCCACTGTGGCAATCCCAGTCAGAGCTGACTTTCATCTCCTTCTTTATCCAATTCCTTTCCCTCACCCCACATTACTCTGAAGCAAATCCAAGGCATCCATAGGAACACATTATTTATAAACATAGTTCTTGGATCAGATCTCAGATTATCAGCAAAAAGAAAAATACTGGAATGTGCATGGCTCTGGGCTCAATACACAGCACCACAAAGAACAAAAGACCTAGCTAAAGTGGCAAGATATTCCATAATCCCACTACTCCTCCTCTTCAGCTTAGTCATACAGTTTGCTCTCAACACCATCACGCTCGCCTGCAGAACAGAAAATGGTGTTCACTTAAGATTGCCTGAGTCCCACAAACAGACTGTTTCTTAATCCTATGGTTGGTTTCTATATGCATTTCATCCAAAAAAAGTACACATGTTGAGAGGTGGCTTTTAAATTTATTCACACTTACATGTGAAAGTTATCAAGGTATGTTACTCAAAGACAAGGTAATGGCAAACATTAAAGACAGGGTGGAAAGGCTCGTGAAATCTAGGAGGATGGACTAGTCAAGAAAAGAGGAGTTTAGTAATAGTGTGTGCTGCAAAGAAGAAATGCCTTTTTTTTTTTTTTGGATACTGGGATTGAACCCAAGAAACACTGAACTATACCTACACCCACTTTGGGGACAGGGTCTCACGAAATTGTCCCCAGGCTGGCCTTGAACTTGTGGTTCTCTTGCTTAGTCTTGGGACTATAGGAATGCATTACTACCTGTAGCAAGACAAAATATCTTTTGAAAAGACAAAGAAGCTAAGTGTGGCAAAGACCACATTTATAATCCCAACACTCTGGAAAGGCCGAAGCAAGAGGATCACAAATTCCAGTGCATCCTGGACTACTTAGCAATACCCTGTCTCAATATAAAGAATAAAAAGGGCTGTCCATGTAGCTCAGTGTGTTAAGACCCAGGGTTCAAACTGCAGTACTGAAAGAAAAAAAAAAAAAAAAAAGGACAGAGAACATGTCTTCTTAAACTCCAAAAAATGTAATTCAACCTGGGAGCTTGAATCCAGAAATTCAAATTTAGGGCATTTGCTTTTTAAATTCAAAGTGTCTGAAATAATTTGGATGGGTTTACAAAGCTGGCTTTGTTTTTTGCAACTTATATTTTCTTTCAATCTATCAAAAATTCCACTTTTAATATATTAAATAATGTAAACTAGATGCTTTCATAGGTGTACCTGGTTATCTGATTATATTTCATTAGAAAGCACTAAAAAGGAGGACAAAGCACTATGTTAAAAATCTCAATTTGCTCAAGCAAATCATTTTCTGTAATTCAACCACCAGAATTATGCCAAAAATGGAGAATTTCACTAATGCCCTTTTTCACACAAATGTCATTATCTCTTCCTTCACAGCTACAACACAGAAAACACTTGAAAAGTAACAAAGGTGAATGAAGAGTAGTAACTGCTTGTGCACTGTTACTAATAACCTGGCAAGGAAGTAACAAAAATTACACCCATAAGATGGCTAAAACGTATCAGCAGGCTGTGGTAATACCACGAACTGGTAATCGAAAGCCATTTACGCCTCCTTCTTCCATGCATTTCCCTGCTTCGGAGGCTAGAAAAGACAATGAGATTTTAAATCCTTCCAACTAGGGAAGCCGTGGGGCACAGAAAACCAAGGAAGGCTGTCCTTTCCCATAAAGAAGGCTAAGTCCTGGCAGAAAACAAGCCCCTTTGCCCTTTGCCTTCCTGAACGTAGATAAAAGGCAGCCCCCTTGACCACAAAACAATGAATATGAACATAAGGTGAGAGGAGAAAAGGGAGAGGAGACAGGGTCCCTTGTCCACTTCTAAGGTCTGGCCTGCCCCCCTCTGGACTTATATATAAAATGTATAAACACTATCAGATCAAACTGCTCTAGCAGGGATTTTTTACTACTGCTAAGTACTACAGTAAGTTCTATAGTAATCATCTACCATAGCAGGATTTTCTGCTACCACCACTAAAGGTGCTTGGAGTAGATACAAATAAGAACAGGAGTTTGAGGCCAGCTGAATTACATAGTGAGTTCCAGGTCAGTCTGGCTACATAGCAAGACTTTGTCTCAAAAAAGAAATATAACCACCAAATTAAAAGTTCTCAAGAAAATGCTCACCAACTCCTCAATAGTCTAAAAAAAATCTCAGCATAAACTTGAATATTTGCTTTCAAGTAAAGAGGAGTGACACGTGACCAACATAAAGGAGTGGGGAGAGATGATACTGGTGACACTCCTGATTTAAGGGACAAAGTAAGATAAGCCAGGGAGGGGAACCTTAGGCAATTACCATCGAGTATGAGTTTTCGATAATATTTCCTATACGCTGATTTCAACTTCTAAAAAAGCAGTTTATTTCTTGGGCAGAAGAAATTCCACCTCAGTTGTTAAGTCTGAGCCTTCAAACTCGGGAAGCTTTCCTCCAGGTCACCAGCGAAGGCCTGGTCCACTTCGTGCAGGAGTTTAATAAAGTCTTCCACCTCCAAGTCAAACAAAAGAATCAGATGAACAGAGTGAAGGCAAAGGTGATCCGAGATACTGACTGCTGACCATAAAGATGCTCTTCCTGTGGTTTCTAAACAGGCCCAAGACACCCCCACGGACAGACCCCAGGTAACAGCATAAGGACTCCTGCGCAGCTCTGCGCAGGGTGAAGAAGCGACTACTCCAACCACTCTGTCTCACTCTGGAGCTCCTACTTACTGTCCTGATGCCTCCCTTCAGGGCCCACTACTGGAGTTGTCGCCATCCTCTGCCATCCCCTCACACCTTCATTTTGTAATACAGTTTCCTGAAAAGTTCCTATTCTGAAGGTGCATCCAATAACAGTAATACGATGTCATGTGAAGAATCATAAAAACCTAAGTAAGATTCTTAGGTGTAGACCTAAGAATCTTACCTTTGTTTAACACGTCTATTTTGTCTACTTCAGAAAAGGGATACCACAGATTCCATGGTAACTTCTGCCTCTGCCAATTGCTCTCAGGTCAGTGTTATGAATTACACAGCAGCAATCTTTCCAACAGAGCACTAAGTCATAGGAAGTACGCTGTCTTTTTTTCACTAGTACTTCAAAAGATCAGGTACTTACTTGAAAACATTTTACTATGAAATGCAGCCCCTACAGTGTCCCCATACTCACCACAGGGTGATAGAAAGGAAGCAGGTTTTGAAATGCACAGGAACATTTCTGTTTGCTTAGCTGGCCCTCCTTTAATCCCTGAGCCACAGTCTCCTAAAACAGACAAACAAACAAAAATCTAATGTCCAAAAAGGAGTATTTCTAAAGCTGTATCTGGTAAATACATATAAATTGGTGTATATATAATCACTGACCTGATAGGCACTTGAAATGTTCTAAACTCAACCCACCATCAACAGGCTTATGTAAATCAGCAGTATTTTCCACAGCAGTCTTTATTTTAGGGAACAGGACTCACTACCTTAGTTTCTGCTACACAAACCAAAAAACTGGGCACAGCCAAGCACTTCCTTCCCTCCCGCAGCTGACTCCTCCCTCCAAGTATTCAGCTCTACTCCGATGAACCTGTCCCCTCCCCACCCCTCCTCTCTCCACACACTCATTTAGGCTCTCACCACGTTCCCGATTATCTTTGCAGCTGACCAACCTTAAGGACCCACTCACTGGTTGGGCCCCTGGCCTGCAGCTGACCAACCTTAAGGACCCACTCACTGGTTGGGCCCCTGGCCTGCAACGCCAATGCTCACCAGTCATCCCTATCACTTTTGGAGTAATCTTTCTAAACGGATCACTTCATCTGATGCTTTAAAAAGACTTAGTAGTTCCTCAAGATTAAATCCAAGTATCCTAAATATTATAGGCAAGAGTTGTCATGACATATCCCTGGCTTATTCTCTGCCAACCTTCGGCTACATTTCATAAAATGCAAATCAAAATAAAGCATGATTTATCACCTGCTGAAATTAATATAAAATAAGGGACAATTATTTTTGCATGTCCATAGCATTTTGCCAATATTGCAGCCCTTGCGCTTCAGTTTCATTTATAATGTGACACCTAGAATTCTAACTTCTAAAAGCCTTGCTAAAATAATAACCCAAATCTGGAAAATGCAAATATGGAAAACAAACAAACAAAAAACCTCAATTCAGCAAAATAAAAACTGTTTAAAGGAAATATCCTTCTTGAAAACCAGTGAGTATGAATATATTTATCATAGTTATAAATATATTTTTCTAAGTATCTGAATAGAAAGAATATGCTAACAATCACTGAATGTATTCAGGAAGAATATTCTTTAGAAACCTTTTGTCTTAAATTTTGAAAATTATTTGGCATTCAGTAAATTCATCTAAAATAAGTACTTCCAGTATTAAATATAACATACCTTATAAAGGGCTTTGAAAACCACATAGTGTATACTAGATTACAAGTATATAAAAAACAAGTATATAGAAATGCATACATAAATATGCTAAAGTATATCATTTGCTTTTTTAAAGTTAGAAATTAATGATAAAACTTTCTTATTTTCTCAAATTAATATACTCAAAAAATAATCACAGGGCTAGGGATGTAGCTAATGGAAGATCGCTTGCCTAGAATGCACAAGGCCCAGCATTAAAAAAAAAAAAAAAAAGGTAGCACTAACAAAGTTTAGAGTATTAAGCAACAATGTTTTCTTTTGTTAAAGAAACCACTTTTCCTACCTTTGTTAATGCTTGCAAAATATTAGAAAGAAATTCACATGAAATATCCTTTAAGATTTTCAAGTGGAAGTCATCTTGGGTTAAATCAGGCTTTTGAGCTTCTCCTGTGTTAGACTCTGTTGAGTTTTCTGATTTTTTCTGACAATGTTCCACATTTTCTAACACCCGAATTAGGCTGTCAATTAAAGGAAGGTCTACTGTACATAAATGAAGAGGCATAAAAATCAGTTAAGTTTGGTTTTTCATTCATTCATTCATCCATTCATTAAAAAAAACTCACACTATATATTATATTTTGGCGCTATTAATAAAGTGATAAGCAAGGGGCTTATCACAAGTAGAGATAGCTCAGTGGTCTAAGCACCTGCCTAGGCAAGTGCAAGGACCCGGGTTCAATCTCCAGTACCACATGTGGTGCTGGCCCTGCCCAAGGTGTGCTAAGCCACCCAAACCGGGCGTGGTCATGCACGCCTGTAATCCCAGTGCTGGGGAGGCTGAAACAAGAGGGTCACTATGAGTCTGAACTGCATAGTGAGACCCTGTACCAAGTACATAAAATTTTAAAAAGTGATAAGCAAGATCATTAGAACAGTGCATTACATTTTTGTATTGTGCTTCCAAATAGTAAAATAGACTTTTTTTATTTTGGTGAGTTTTATAAAAGAAAATATAATCAAGGAGCTCAGTAGGAGAGGCTATCTGAAGAGATAACCAGGACTTAAGAACCAAAAGACAAGAAACAGCAACAGTACAAAAGTCCCAGGGAAACACCTCAGGCAAAGGGAACACCAGGAAGGGCTGACACACAGGGAGCAAGAGGAGGGCAGCGCAGGGTTACGGGACGAGCATGGGCCCTGCACATGCCTTGAGGGCGCCGTGAGGAAAGACCCTTAATTTTAGCTTTAGCTATCAAAAATATCATAGACAAAGCTTTTAAATATTATGCCTTCTTAGATAAAACAAAATTTTAGTCTGATTTTTAAAAGACTGAACATTCATTTTAATTCTCCTATAAAAAAACTAAAAAATTCAAATTCAAAATGAGTATGAACACACTAAATGGTATCTCAGTGTTGACCACTCATTCTACTTTTACCATTTCTGCTTAAAAATTCTAACACTAAGGAAAAACAAAGATTTCTGTAGCATTGAATCAAATATATCAGTTTAAAAAAATTAACTTCCTATCCAAACTTAAATCATTTATATAGTATTACATGGAAATGACATTTTTTAACAAATTAGCAACCAAGGAAATCTTACCTTTTATTCCTTAACTCAAGGTCACCTTTTCAGGCCAACTCCCTGCCTGGTTGCTTTGCTATATCCCCTATGTCTTTTGATTTGATTTTTTTTTTTTACTATGTTTTATTTTCATAATGCATATTTTGGTCATAATCCATCCTCCCACTACCCTCCCTCACCACCCCACCCTGCTCTCCTGTATTATCACCAGCTCGATGCTGAGCCCACCACTGATCTAGTCCAGCCTCTCTGCTCTTTCTCAGCCACACCCTAACTCTGCAAAGCGCCTATTCAAGGTTTAGTGTACACAAAGAAGTCAATCAGGGCTTGAGTTAAAGGAACATCTGTATACTTTCCGCCCGACAACAAAAACTGTACATAAAGTTACAGGGTGATGTGGGGAGAACAGTGGTCAAGAATACTCAGTCTTACAACATCAAGAAAGATATGCTCCTCATACATAGAAACTCTGACTTTCAACAGGAAGATTATATACTTAGTATAACAGGACATCAACACTCTCTAAGCTGACTACATGATAGGAAAAAAACACTATAGTGGGTGATATTAATTTTTGCTCTCATTTTATATCATCTCAAGTCAAGAAAAGTAACTAAAGCTACAGAAGACATAAGCAGCACGACAAAAGACAATTCCAATCTTGGCAGCTTTTTAGGTTTTGCATACTAGGGATATTTGTCTTTCTGGAAGAAAACAAATTAAGATGTGCTCTTTCCATGTACCTGCTCCCCAACATAAATGTAGTCACCACATACTGCAAACATGTGGTAAAGAAAGTGGTATGAAAGTAGAAAGAAACTATGATTAGACAGGAGAAGGGACCAGATGGCAGGAGTCTGACTTACTTCACTTAACATGATGGTACCCAGCTGCATCCCTTGTCCTGCAAATGACAACTGAGTTCATGGCCTAATAATACTCTACAGTTTATATGTACCAAGTTTTTTATGCATGCATCCTCAATAAAGATAGTTCAACATTCACAAATCAATGAATGTAACCCATCAGATAAACAGAGACCACATCTCCACAGATGCAGCTGGATGTGGGGTACACACCCCTAATCCCAGCACTTGGGAGCTGAGGCAGGACAGCCTGAACTGCCTAGCAAGACCCTGTCTACAAAAAAAAAAGGAAAAAACTCAATAGATGCAGAAAAAAAGCCATTGACAAAATCCAACATTCATTTATAATAAAGTTCCTGAAAAAAAAAAAAAATAGAAGGATCTTAACCTGATAAATACCAACTGTGACAGCCAAAGTCATATTAAATGGGGAAAAACTGAAAGCTTTCCTTCTAGCAGTAGGAACAAGACAGGAATGTCAACCATTACCACTCCTGTTCAACATTTTCCTAAAAACATGAGTCCCAGGGATCAAGCAAAGAAAAAAAAAAAAAAAAAGGGATACATACATTATAGGAAAGGACAAAGTCAAAGAATTATTTGCAAATGACATGCTTTACTTATAAGACCCAAGAAACTCCACCTCAAGAGTCCTACCATATGGTTTCCCTTATATGAGAGACCTAAAATACAAATAAAGAGCAAAATCATGTACCTGTACAAACTCTCTAAGACATCTAAAATGTATCAATAAAATCCAACGTAACAAAAATGCAGATTCTACAATGACTGTGGAGGGGAGGATAAATAAAGAGCAAAAGAAAAGACGACAGGAAATAGGGAGATCTTTTTCAAATGGAAAAGGGAACAAGAGATGAAGGGAGGAAGTAAGAAAAAAAAAGGGGATGGGAAAAAAATTGAAGGAGAGAGGAAAAGGCAGAAGTGATATCAGGAATGAGAAGGGAACCAAGAGTTGGAAAGAGCAGGGAGGGACTGGATGGGTAAGAGACGAAAAATAAATTAAGATGTGCTCTTTTCAAATTGGCCAAGCAATGGCCATGACTCATCCACATGGGTGACACTGACAAATGATCTACAATCTGAGGTGCACCAGTGTCTCAAGATAAAGCCTGAGGGGATTTGACTGACCTTATCAGATACAAAAGCGACAATTCTTGCTACCTAGGTCTTGCTTTATCCTGGTCTTAACTACCCAGCAGAAAAGTATAAAAACGAAGTGTAAGAAGTAAAGCCATGGTGTTATGTTTAGCTGTAGGGGACTCAACAACTTCTAACATTGCCAGTGAAGCAGAAGACCCAATACAATTATGGACTACTGGACTATTTTGGAATATTTTGCTGAGTTCACACACCTATAATATTTAAATGATGGAACTAAACAAAAAAGGAGGATACAAATGAATGACCATTTTGCATCTGTGTATTCAAAATGGTTAGGATAGATATATAGCTACAT